TCCCACCAAAGTATGCGTTTGGGCATGGAGACGACAAACTGGGAGGATCATTTTGTGGTAGTAAAAACAGGAGGAGGATGTATTGAGTACTATGTAGTTACACTTTACTGTCACTGTATCTGCAAGCAGGCATGAGATTTTAACCAAACACTATCACCCACAGCCACCAGGCAGAGAGCGGTAAAAGATGGTAAGAAAGACGAGACAGGGGGAGGAGCAGCAAGTGGTTTCCTCCGTGCTGTCCCTTCTACTAGCATTCAGCTGGCCTTTCTCCTTCTTAACCGAACACCCTGGTTGGTCCTAGTCCTCTGAGCCCGTATGCCCACCCCTCACCCCCCGCCAAAAGCTCCGGAACCCTCATGCTCTGTGAGCTTCCTATTTGTCTGTCTGAAGACCTGGCCATTTTACTCCCAGGCAGCACATTGGGAGGGACGCAAGAGGCAGAGGAGGAGAAGGAGAATAGCACAAGAAAGAAGGACAGAGGGGAGGTTGATGGGGAAAAAGCAAAGGGAGAGACATTGAACACTCCCAAGTTGGGATTGATTTACTTCATTAACCGAGATTACAAGTTTAACTTACAAACCAGAGGTCAAAATTTCTCATTAACAAGGGGACCATGGAGAACCTCGGGGCTTGGAGACCACTCTTATTACTGACTACACATTTCAATCTGTCTTTGATGTTCCATGTCTGCTTCTCTACCCCCTCTTCCCCCCCTTTTTTGGCAGTGAGGTTGATTTTAATTGTAGCTATAGAACAGAGCATAGTTTGCCTGTAAGCCAGCCTCCACATCTGTAGTGAGTGCAGCTTTAGTGATATTGGGTGCAGTCCATAGCTTGGGGCTAATTTTAATGGTCCCCCCTCCCCTCCCCTCCTTCCTTCATTGGAGACTCAGATTGTTTTCCACGTGATTCCTGTTAATTTAGCTGGAGGAAAGGGCATCAGTTTTCCTTGTGCTTTTCACCCTCTCTCCCTATGCTTCTCACTCTATTGCCTCATTCCTTTTTTTCTGATCTACAGCCTCAAAGAAAGAAGGTGAAATGAATTCAAATGGAAAAATAGACTGTGCTCACTATTACATCGTTTGCCTACCTTTGTCCCTTGCATTGCAAGACAGAGAGGAGAAAGGCAGTATGGCTGTACACACTGGGGCAATTTAGCTACTATTGTCATTTTTACATCAACAAACAAAGCTCTTCTTTTCATATAATAAGTGGCCTAAGTGTCAGGATGGTAACTCTCTGCTCATAAATGTGTCAGGGGAGTTTCAAAGCCTTGAGCATATTTAACGCTGCAGGAAAAGGTGGTCCAAGGCACATTTAATATTGCAAACCCTTTAATGTTAACCTTAGATGTACTGAAGAGTCTATCATTCTTAAGCTAGAGACACAATTTATCCAAGATGCACCAAATGTGAAGAGAGGAGATCATAACACACAAAAATCAATGGGAGGAAATGAAACTGTAGAGTTCAAATCATGTTGAAAGTGTGAAAGGACACAATATATAGAGGGTGTGATAGAATAATCATTGTGAATAAAGTTCTCTGTGATAAACTGTTTAGATCCAAGTTTCACTGAGCTAAAAGTCATATTTATCTCTTCTACATACAATTTACAAAAGGTGATGTGGCTAGCAAGGAGCAGAGAACTGAACATCATATGCAGTCTAGCTATGTCTTGTCTCTTCATGTACAGTACTGCTTGGAGCACTGTATAGATGAGCTGCAAAATATACTCAGAGAATTAAAGAAAAATCAGCTTGATGAAAATTTAATTTTGTGTGTAATTTCTATAGAAGGGTAGGTGTTTTTAGTGCCTAACAAGAAAAAAATATATCAGGAATGAGATTTTAATTTGAACATCTCAACATCTATTAATTCATCATTACAATATTAGTGTCCACACCTTCAAGCTAGTATCTTCAGGCTAAGATGATTTATGCCTTCGTCACATTTCCCTCTACCTTTCGCTGCCCTTTGTCACTGCACTTCACCCTTATGGCTCACCTTAGACTTTTGTGCTGAACTTCAAAAGCCTGTATGAACTGATGGGGACTACTGAGTTAGAGGAGAGTTGTGGTGTGTGTGCCTGTGCGGCCCCTGACTGTGGAGTGACCCACCACTGGGACCATATCAGGCTCTCTTCCAGCAGGCAAGCCATCATCCCCAGCCATTGGCTCCTTGGAACTAATCCACCCTGTGGAGCCTTGTAAGACACTCTTTGTTCCTTCCTGCAGTCTAGATCAGACAGGAGACAGACATTCTAGTCTTGACTGTATATCAGTTTCACAGCCCGTAGTGTTCCACATCCAGGCACAGGCCCAAGCCTGGCCAACCCACTATCAAATTAAATGTGGGTGAATGGGGAGGGCATTGAGTTGGGGGAAATGCAGTGAAATTGTGTCACCTGAATTCCGCCACAGCCCGGGAATTCTGCCTCTCGGTGAACAGAACAGGGTCTCAACAAGGCCATTATCTGGCTCCTAATTTGAGCTCTGGCACAGCACTGAAGGGCTGCCTTTGTCTGGGATTAATGCAGAAAGCTCAGGATGCAATGTCAGAGGGAAATAATCAGCGTCGGCCCTTCATAACATTGGCTGCTTGTGCTCCTGGCCAGGGCCCCCCGGCTCATTTCTGTGGAGATGAAATCTATGACAAGCCCCTCAGTGAAGCTAAGAGCAGGCAACAGTCCAGTTACACCCACAGGCCTCCAGGCATCCTGTGACCCCTTTAGAAAAGTCACATTCACTTTGCTCTGGAGAAGGGAAA